TCTTTTTAATTGTGTACTCACATAAAAGCAGAACATGATGCAAGTCAGTGATTCACGCAGGCCTATAATTCAACCCTAAATCAGCCCTGAATGGAGCCACTACAGACAGAGACAAGCAAGAATGTTCCCTGTAACCTTGTGTTACACTGTGCTTATAGGTGTGATCACATCCGCACACTCAAAGCTTCTTTCCCACTCCAGCTATATTGACTATCTTGCTTAGCTATTATTCTTTCCAACTGGCGCAGAGACAAGCCTCATAATAAACAGTGGTTCGCTCAGGTCAAGGTAAACTGAAGGAAGTGGACAGAGGATGAGAAGAAAACAACCAGCATCCGTCTGCCCACTTCTGTGCGGGAAGAACGGCTGATTATCGGAACAAGAAGAGCAAAAAAACAATCTTTATTTTTTTATGTGAAAATTTGAAGTGAGGAAATGGGAAGAAAATAAGGTAGAAAAGTGGTGGTAGAAAAGTTGGTGTTATTCCAAAAACAAAAATTGCTGAAATATTGGTGTAAAAGGAGGACCAGCATCTTCATATTAGAACGATCCGCAGCTAAACTAAGTAAAAAGGCAGATGAAAGCCTTTTATGATTCAGATAGAAAATAAATTACAGGTTTATTAGAGCTGCTTCGGGTCACCTTGTAGTTCATGCAATATAGATTTAGAAGGCTGACAACAAAAGGACACAGTTGGGAGAAACATGCCTCATAAAAGTGACACCGCCAGTGCCAAAAAAAGTGTACGGATGGAGGAAATGGTTTCTGTGAAAATAAAGCGTAGTAAGCTTAGAAAATCCCTTAAAACAGCAGCTATTTGCCAAGCAGAAATGTTGTGCTTATGTTTGATCTTATGTCTCTGTTCCCTGGGAATGTCAATCTAGCCTCAGCCTGTTTCACATCCTGCATCAATATGAGGGTCTTCTAGATAAAGAAAAGCTTTGTTTTTTAGTTTCCTTATGATCAAAAGTAATTATATGATAAAAAACAGAGGAAGGCTCTAAGACTACTGACTAAATATTATAAGTGCAGCATTTCTAATTGATGGGAGGAGCTGCGGGTTTGGAAACAGAACTGCATGCTGCAGAAATGTGGAATTACAGAAAACATCTGATAACTTTTTTATTAAAGAAAGGTTACAAAGCACTTACTAAACAAGAGAGGCTTGGAAAATAATAGCTATGTTTTATCTTAATGGGTAGAAAGTTTTGTTTCCTTTCCTTTACAGTTTGTGAAAATTAAACGGCCTACTCTTTCTGTATGATTGTTGCCATTATTACTGTGCCCAAGAATTGTAAAAACGCTGAAAATGCATAAATAGGATTGCAAACTCATGAATGAGACAAGCAAACATGGAAATAAGACCACAAAAAACACAATCAAAGAAAAATGTCTTGAACTGCTCCAGGTTTAAATATAAAGAAATGCAAACTATCTCCAGAAGTGCTCCAGACCACTAGGGACAAAAGGGACGAAAACCGGATCTGTTCTCCCTGGCGGCGCGGCGCACACAACAAGCGTACAAGCAGACATTTTGCTGTTTTTCAACACGTCACTGCACAAAATCTCTGTCTTAAAGGAGAAGTCCGCTCATATTCAGAATTCAAACTTCTGAAAGGACTTTAACTATGAAATTATTCCATATTGTTCAATAAATGATAAATGTTTTTAATTCAGAGTAATTTTCATTTCAATGTGCTTTACTGGAGGCATCCATGTTTGTCAAAGAACACTACTGCCACCTACTGGTTTGTGATGTCACGGTGCGGTATCGGCTGTTGATCAAGCCCCAGTGCTGTATCTGGTGTTTGTCACAACGCGCTATTATCCAAGTCATCTTGAAAACATTCTTCTTCCAAATGTTGGCCACATTTTACGGGTTTTTTCTCTGGCCAGAAGTTGGCAATCCAACGATGAACCCGTCCGTGGAGGATCAGGAATGGGAAAGGTGAAATAAGTCTTTTTTTTCCAACATCCAACTGCCATGCACATGAGCATTACATGTGATTGCAGATGTGTCTAGTAGTTCCCATTGATTTTGCTTGTAAAGCGGGGAGAATGGCGCTAGGCTTACCGCACCGTGACGTCACTGCTGGAAAATGGCAGGAGGGAGGGGTTACTATATTTGGGCAAAAATGGCCGCTCCCAGTCTCAGTGATCGCCACAAAAATGCATCCTCAGAGAGAGAAAAGCATGAAGCAGCTGCTTTGTCCCTAAGCTCTGTGGAGGGGCAGAATGACATGTATCTCTATAGGAGTGTAGTGCAAAGTGTCTTGGAGAGAGGAAAGATGGAGAGGAGAGTCCAACAGCAGAGTAAAACTACATCCTCCTACATCAAAGATCATGGTTAATATCAGCATGGACAATGGCCCCCAACGTCCAAAATTAATATCGGGGTTTATGGCCCAATACCCAGACCTAAAGAAACGTTTTGTATTCACCGTCAGATGCTACAAATGGCAGCAGAAAATCCTAAACAGCCTGGTCAGTTTCAGAAAGCTTTCACTAAGTGAAAGCTTTCTGTTGTGCCGATGCCATTTTTGGCCCTGATACCTGGCTGTGCAGTATTGGCCCATACCGATACCTGGCTGTGCGGTATTGGCCGATACCAATACCTGGCTGTGCAGTATTGGCCGATACCGATACCTGGCTGTGCAGTATTGGCAGATACCGATACCTGGCTGTGCAGTATTGGCAGATACCGATACCTGGCTGTGCACTATTGGTCGATACCGATACCCGGCTGTGCGGTATTGGCTGATACCGATACCTGGCTGTGCAGTATTGGCCGATACCGATACCTGGCTGTGCAGTATTGGCCGATACCGATATCTGGCTGTGCAGTATTGGTCGATACCGATACCTGGCTGTGCAGTATTGGCCGATACCGATACCTGGCTGTGCAGTATTGGCAGATACCGATACCTGGCTGTGCAGTATTGGCAGATACCGATACCTGGCTGTGCTGTATTGGTCGATACCGATACCTGGCTGTGCGGTATTGGCTGATACTGATACCTGGCTGTGCAGTATTGGTCGATACCGATACCTGGCTGTGCAGTATTGGCAGATACTGATACCTGGCTGTGCAGTATTGGCAGATACCGATACCTGGCTGTGCTGTATTGGTCGATACCGATACCCGGCTGTGCGGTATTGGCTGATACTGATACCTGGCTGTGCAGTATTGGTCGATACCGATACCTGGCTGTGCAGTATTGGCAGATACCGATACCTGGCTGTGCAGTATTGGCAGATACCGATACCTGGCTGTGCAGTATTGGCAGATACCGATACCTGGCTGTGCTGTATTGGTCGATACCGATACCCGGCTGTGCGGTATTGGCTGATACTGATACCTGGCTGTGCAGTATTGGTCGATACCGATACCTGGCTGTGCAGTATTGGCAGATACCGATACCTGGCTGTGCAGTATTGGCAGATACCGATACCTGGCTGTGCAGTATTGGCAGATACCGATACCTGGCTGTGCTGTATTGGTCGATACCGATACCCGGCTGTGCGGTATTGGCTGATACTGATACCTGGCTGTGCAGTATTGGTCGATACCGATACCCGGCTGTGCGGTATTGGCTGATACCGATACCTGGCTGTGCAGTATTGGCCGATACCGATACCTGGCTGTGCAGTATTGGCAGATACCGATACCTGGCTGTGCAGTATTGGTCAATACCGATACCTGGCTGTGCAGTATTGGCAGATACCGATACCTGGCTGTGCAGTATTGGTCGATACCGATACCTGGCTTTGCGGTATTGGCCGATACCGATACCTGGCTGTGCGGTATTGGCCGATACCGATACCTGGCTGTGCAGTATTGGCCGATACCGATACCTGGCTGTGCAGTATTGGTCGATACCGATACCTGGCTGTGCAGTATTGGCTTGAAATTCATGTGTTTGTGTGTATATATGAAAAACTGCTTTGTCAAGCTGCTGCCTACCTTTGTGAAGCAGGAAATAGACTAATACAAAGTGAATCCTGTAGAACTTTTTATTACCTACCTTGAATGGGTGACAATAGATGAATGAACTTTTGGCTGTCTAAATGGTATCAGTGCCCTATTTCCAGCACTGTCACCTGCCAGTATGCAACAGGGTGTGGAGCAATGTCAAGGGAAACTGAGCGTCTGACTTCAAAATGCAAAAGCATCTAAGTTCAGATGTTGGATAGCTTTTTGACACTTAAACACACTTGGTGTGAATGCAGCATACGGCTGAATGAGCTCTTTATATAAGTGAACATGCATTGAATTGATTTGGAAAAAATAAATCTTTACAAACCAAATTTAAGCCAAAAGCTGAAACTGGAAAGTGTGAGAAGTTTGTCGTCACTGAAAATCTTTGACCCATGACTATTTATTCATAAGAATGTAGACGTAGCTGAACCACACAGTCCTGGCTTTGAAAGCTATCGCATTTATGAAATCACTGAGAGCTGTTTAGATGGAATCAGCAGGAAGTGGATGTCATTCACTGATGAGAAATAGGAGGAATCAGATTAATCACACTTTGCTCGTTGGCAAAAAGTGGAAATGACTCAGTCGAATGACACTTTTAGCTGCACTGAAAATGATGAGTAATTCATCCTTTTTCATTTATTTCAGCTGTCCTTTCTTTAGCACCTCATCTAATCTGACTCCATTCTTCCTTTCTCAACCCTTTCCCACCAACACTCCTCCACTCACGTCCCCCCTTCTCCTCCAGTCATCTGCATTCATTCCCAAACCAGGAGCTTTATTAACCACACGGTTGAAGGATTATTGTGTTTATACTCAGAATGCGCGTCTCAGTGCTGGATTCAGGGCAAGCTCCATCATAGTAGCTCAGGATTAGAGCTTCTCTTGGGGAGCAGTTCTGCAGTATTTTTATTAAGTTGATTTAAAGAAAAATAAAGGACTCTCAAAAATAGTCAATTTCAGTTTGAATATTTCCACCAAACTCATGTGCTGTTTTTTATTCTTTGTTTTTGCTTTGCAGCCTGCAAGTGTAACAGCCATGCCAATTTGTGCCATGTCAGCTCTGGAAAATGCTTCTGCACTACCAAGGGCGTCAAGGGAGACCAGTGTCAGCTGTAAGTGCACCAACACGCCACCTCACTATGATTAAACACCTCCCAGACTCTGAGTCATCACCGTGATCAGCAGGTGTTGGTGTGTTGGAGCTGGCTGCAATGTTTGCTGCAAACGACCAAAATAACTTCCTTTTAAATTTATTTTGAGGTTAGGTTTTGTTTACACAAATATTCAAAGTTTCATAAAAATGTGTTTGGGTGTGTGTTCCTGTTTTGGCATCAGAGTGAGGACCGTTTATACTCAACACAGTCCTTCTGCAGTCACAGTTAGATTTTAGGACCGTCGGTTCCAGAACAAATTTACCAGAGAGAGGCCATTGCAGTAAGATAAATGATTTTTGTCCCTGAAATCATGATATATTCTCCAAACAAGTTCAGAATGACTTTTTTTGGCAGAATCTAAGATTGTAAGGCTTAGTTAGATGGACACTTTTTGCAGTGCATTACCTTCTGTTACTGATCTGAAAAAGGAAACATTTTTTGAGATAAGTATATTTTCCTTTTTAGAATGTGCAGGTAAAAAAGAATATTTCTGCCTATGTGAAATAAGATAATGAAGTTGCTTTTTTTCTTATTTTAAATATAAAACATTGTATTCAATTGCTAAATTGTCTGACCTTCCTGATCAAGTTAAGGGAAAATACTGTATACTAGTTCAAGAAAATTAACTTATTTTTCAATCTTTGCAGTGTATGCTTTCAGCATGGGGCCATAACAGGGGCCATGATGAGGGATGGGGCCAGTTCCAAAAGGGCTGTGGTCCTTGTTTGCCCCTTTCTACAACTGCTATGTTAAGGACTAAGTTCTGAACTGAGTTTAGGGTCAAGGTTAGTTTTCGGAATGCATGGGTTACGGGTTCTTAGTTATTGTCAGAGTAAGGCCATAGAAATGGTTGAACATGATGGAAAATCAATACATTGTTCTCGTTACATATAGTAAGACTGGAATGGGTGTGTGTGTGATCCTCTGCACCAGACTTGACCGCTGCAGCACCACAATATTCTAAATGGCTTGGCAGACAAACGCGCAGCAGAGACAGACTGAGAAGTGCTGCATCGATAAATCTAGCTGGCGAGGTTACAAAGCAGGGAAAGGCAGTGTGTGGGTGTGTGCTTCCACTCGCAGCTGAGTCAGAACATATTTTTCATATTTTACTACCAAATGGAATGGAAGGCAATGGAAGGTCCTCAGTAAGTGTTTAGAATGCTGGTGTGTGTGTGTGTAATTTGTAATGTGATGTATTAGCAATGCATGCTTAGATGGCATAGGGCAACCATGAAAAATATCTTCTGCTAAAACAAAACATATCCATTTATATATTTTAAATAATGTTATAAATAAATAAATACATTATTTCCCAAACCAAAATGATAAAATAAATACAAACGATACAATCCCTTCTTGCCAACCTGTTATTGATGTAGAATGCAGAAATATAAAATGGTGAGATCAGCTGGTGAATCAGTAGCCAGCCGGTTACTGTAGATGCAAAACTTCATTATGTTAATGAGATGTAGTTGGAACGGATTTTGAAAGTGTGACCTTTAAAATTTTAGTATGCTCTGATAAAAGCAACCAGACTTCAGTCCCGCTGATCATGTTTGCTCATCTAATTTCCCTAAAAATAATATAAGATCAGAGTTTTAGCACTCTGGAAACAATTACCGTATTTTCTGGACTATAGAGTGCACCTCAATATAAGCCGCTCCCACACATTTTTTTGTAAAACTGGAAACCTACATAAATAAGGCGCACTGGGCTACAGGCTGCTGATATCGACTGAACTGTGTACCACCAAACCTGTAGGGGGAGCTCTACAGTAGGGACAAAGGAGAACGCTAGCTTCCGTTAGCTTCTTGGCTCGCAGCAGTAAGAGCTTCTGCTGAAAGATGGCGCTTCGTTGTCTCTTTATTTCAGTCTGCTGGAGTTGAGCCCAGTCTTTCTGTTGGCTCGGCAGCTTTAATGCGGCAAATAAATGTCAGCATTTTTTAACTTGGGACATTTGTTCTCAGTCATACATGCTGCTTGAATTAGCGCCTTATTTTGTAATTTCTAGCTTTGACTTCCCGCTCTAGAGGTTAGGAAACATCCACAAAAAAGCCGCACCTTTTTATAAGTCACATGGGAAAAAAAGTCTTCCCCCTAGGAAACACATAAACCATCAACGTTCCTTCATCACCTTGAAACATCTAAACCTTTTCATAGTTTTTAGTATTTTTTGTTTCTATCAGAGAAACATCCAGAATTGTTTCTCTGACAGATTAACTTTCACAACAATTCTGCTGATGAACTTTTAGCTCTCCCTCTTCAACAGTAGGATTTCTTTGAACAGCTTTGATACAGATTAATATTATTTTACTGAAATATGCTTATTTAGTAGAATGATCACTTTAGGATGGAAACAGTCACAGTAAATGGATGAAATAAACTCTTTTTCACCCTTTTAAAGCTACAGTGTGTAATAATTACAGGGATATACAGTCAGAAATGTAATATATTATACATAACTGTGTTATTTATCATCATCTACGAGCTCAGCCTCTTAACCTTAATATTTGCGTTGCCTTAGAATTCGTTATTTATAATTACATAGGAGCGGGTCTCGCAGCCATGGAGGCAGACATCTTTGCGCTACGGCAGCGCAGAGCCAACAAACTAGCGATTGCGAGATCGCCCATTACGCTCGAAAGTAACTACGGCAATTTGAGAGAGATGAACTGAGACGGTACTGAAATCTATACCCTACACAGACTAATGAAATACTATCTGTAAAATTATCTATGTAAACAAACCTCATCACTTGAGAAGGTAGGTGATGCGGACGTCGTGGAAGACATTTTGTCCCGTAACGCTCGCCGTACTGTTGGGGGGGAGAAGCGGTGGGGGGAGATGTTCATGTTGCTGCGGTCTGCAGTCTGGACGTAAGATATCGCTAAAAGTTACACACTGTAGCTTTAAATGTAGGCAATCCATTTGAACACTGTAATGTTTTTCAGTTTATTTATTTTTTTCTGCTTTTTGCTGTTACTTAGTTACATGTTATGGTTCACCATCTGCTAATTTTTCTGCTGATTATATTTTTGTTAAGATGAAAATGATCTGTGAATCCAAAGGTACTTTTGGATTCTTCTGATTGCTGTAACACAAGGAAACATATTGATTTTGACCCTGCTGCCCTCAACCTTTGCCCTCACAGCTGACTATATCTGCTTCTACACTCTGAGTGACCCATTAATGATCCAGAACCTCGGCTCCATTCGTTATTCAGAGGTCAAGTTCTACAAATGTCCTGCCTGTCATTTCTAATCATGTTAGACCTTCAGTGAAGCAGCTCATAGGATACACATACCGACACATGTACATGTTAATCACCTAATATATTAAAGCAAATAAAGTGATATAATTTTAAACCTTCACTTTTAACATACATATGTTAAATGATAAAATATTTATCCATACAGTACATCCATCTTTTCTTGCTTAATCCATCAGGATCACAGTGGGGCTGGTGCCTGTTTCCATCCGTCTATGGGCGAAAGATGGGGTGTGCCAATCTGTGTACAGATATACGAGCATCTACATACACAGACAGCCAGACAGTTCAGATACACTGATTAACAGTCATGTTTTCAAACTTTGGGAGGAAGCCAGAGTACCCAGAATGATTAACCCTTGTTAATAAGTTAGGGTTGTAGTGACAAAAAGGGAGATAAAGGAACAATGTCAAACTGATGTCAACTTTAATGTGAAATGTTGAAAATCAAATTCAAACTAATAACACATTTATTTGAAAATAAATATTTAAAAAACAAAAGAAACAAATAGAAAAATACTATTTAACCCACTCTTCAATCTAAAACTCTGAAAAACAATGAAACTTGAGTTTGATCTGCCACTGGATAAGTCGTGTAACCCAGAACGCAATCCTATTGGGGCAATCTGAGCTCACTTTAAACACGGGGGCTAATTAAGCTAAACATTGCAAAACAGAAGAGACACTTACCGGATCAGATATATTTTTATTCTCTGATTTAAACCAGTGGACTGCCCTACATTTTCAAGTAACTTTGTAACTTCTCAATCTGCTTGGTTCAAATTGGTCTGCTGTGAGATTCCAAAACACAGAGGGACACAGTTTTTAGTTTATAAATGTTCTCATGTTAACAGTACAGTGTTAACAGTGGTTTATAAAAAAGAAGAAAGAGAGCACATGCAATTAGTCACAATAAAAGCTGATCCCATAGGAGACAAAAAGGACAAAACATTGAAAAACAGGCCCAACTCTATCATCCATGACAGTTCAGCTGATGTCTCCCTCCCACATGGTGTCCAGTCAAACGGAGTGCCAACCCAGATGAGGCTACTATGATGTGATAAAACAGAGAAAACATAAAGTTTAAATTGAACTTACAAGTAACACAGAATTGGTGAGCAGATGTACATAAAGCAGAATTTTAAAAAGGGGTCCCTATGTCCTCCAGCAGCCTAAGTCCATAGAAGCATAAGTATAGAGATAGCTCAGGATTAACTGAACCACTATAACTATAAGCTTTATCAAAAAGACGGTTTTACGCCTAGGCATCAATAAAGGCATGTTTTTTAAATAAAGTCACACCGGTGGGTTATGTACTTACCTGTACCTAATTAGGTAGAGTTCACCCATATGTACATTAATCACAGTGTAAATGCAGCTGTTCTATGAGAGCTGCAGAGGTCTTTTAGAGAAATCACAATGAAGCTCAAGGAGCCAAGCAGAAAAGCACTGTAATTAGCAGGAAAGTAAGTTAAAAAATCTATCTTATTCTTTCAACATCCCATAGATCCCCATTAAAGTTATTATCAGAAAATGTAACTTTAAACCCTTAGTGACACGTCACCCACCCAAATGACTTCCTGGGTAAGGAGACAACTCATCAGCGCAGCAAGCAGGGCAACCTAGGCAGCTGCTGAACTCCCTTCTGGGTGAGTCCCATGAAGAAAACTAGTGGTGGAAGAACAAA